CTCACCCTTCCAACAGTACATCATCTTCATCGGCTTTTGCTCACTCAGGTACTCATGCTTCTGCGAATCATGCTTCAGCTTCAGGTAATCATAAAATCCCTTGGATTATTGATGTATGTGTTAATACATTTTATACTTTGTTTTAATGTTGTAAAATTGAAATTCAAAAGATCAAAATGGTTTTGAGGAGAGAAAAAGAAAGAAAGAAAGAAAAGAAATAGGAAAGAAAGAATAGAATAATAAAGTTCTTTTTTTCTATTCTCTCTCTAATTAAATAAAACAGAAACTCCTTCCTTGTTTTTTTTCTATTTTACTTTCCATCTTGAATATTTGTCATATGAAGTTAATAGCCTTAATTAGTTGCTAATTAATATGAATTTGCTCTATTAAATACTTATTATAGTAGTATTCTTTTTTAAAATAATGAAATTAATATATGTAAAAGATTTTTATCTTTTAGATGTAATGATTTGTAACATTTTTAGACGAAATTTAATGTTCTTAATAAAGAGAATTGCTATTTTTTTCAATTAACATACATGTTGAATAGTATATAAAACTAGGAAACCAGCCAAAAGTCAAATTTTTATATTATAAAACTTTTATCGCCTAGGCGACTAGGCACCCAGTGTCGCCTAAAATCGCCTAGACACCTTGAAAACTATGCCTATAACCCACCCCCTTTGACCCCGTTTTTTAACACTTCCACGTATGATGGTTTACACTTCGGGTCAACTAACCGTGATATTCAAAATATTTTGAATAACCCATCTTTAATGGCAAAATGGAGATAAATGGCATGTTGTTCGATGGTCCACCTTCTAAAACAGGGCTGACTGCGAACTTCCGGTCTTCCAAAGCTTTTTGTCAACCTAGCAGCCTTTTGGACATGTCATCATCGTCTTCTTCCTCCTTTCCTTTCTCCCACAGCATTTCAACTTCCAACGCCACCCAAACTCTCTGCCAGTGCCCGTTGGAGAGGAACTCAACTGAACTTCAAAGGAGATGTGGGGTAGCCCTATACCCCCTAAAATTCAGGCCTTTTGTTGGGAAGTGGTACTCCAAAAAATCAACACCTTGGATTTATTGCAGAAAAAGAGGCCAAATATGTGCCTCTCCCCCCATGTTTGTTGCCTCT